CTGGCGGGACCTCAGAAGGAGCAGCGTGGTCCTGCGAGTGTGTGGCGTGGGTGCAGTCACTCTCTGGGCGCGGGAGCAGCACTAGGCCGAGCTGTGCTGCAGGGGCCGGCAGGACCACCTGGTCCACCTGGCTACGTTACCAACTCTAGCGCGGGCGCAGCACGGAGGCCGAGCTGAGCCGGGGCCAGACGACATCGGAAAGCCCGGAAACTTTGGCAGTTTTTGTTTCGGGCTCTGCCGGGATCGGGGCAGCAGGGGGCGCCGGCGGGGCCGTTACCTGCTCCGCTTGGTTCCCGAGGCGGTATCAACCCCCGGGCCTCCGGGCTCAGACTCGTCCCCTTGGAAACCAGCCCGCGGGGTCTCCTGGGACCGGCGGCAGGGGGAGGAGGGGGGGGGGGCGGGAAACGGGGCAGTGAGGTTCGTGCGCACGCGCACTCTGGGTTGTGTCCCCCCACCCCCCACCCCCCGCGTCTGGCCGCCGGGTTTGGGGCGTGTCAGACCCTGCGTTTCTCCCGGCGGACGAAGTGGGGTGAGTTGTGCAGACGTCTGTAAGGAAGCCGCCTGTCGCCCTTCTCGGTGGCCCGGCGCGAGGAGTTCCCTTGGGCGCGAAGATGTCGCTGCTGCGTCCCGCGCTCGGTCGCACTAGCCCACGCGCCGGGTGTTTTGAATCAGTCCCGGAGCGAGTGTAGTTCCCTGCCTGGGAGGGGCGGGGGCCGAGAGCAGCGCGCTCCCGCAGGCTGCTAGGCACGCAAGTGTGGACGCCAGATTCCCCGGAAAGGGGGTGGACCCAGACTGGCACGTGTAGACTCCTGGGCTTTGCCTATTAACCTCTCTATAAAGTTGGATTTCTTTGGAGAAAGGACATCTGATCACAAAGCAATGCACATTTGGTGTAGAGAATTTAGAATAACGGGGAAAGTGCCAAGAAAAAGTAAAAATAAGCCCTCGCTGGTGTGGCGCAGTGGACTGGGCTCCCGCGGCGTGCAAACCCAGAGGTCACAGGTTTGATTCCCAGTCGGGACAGATGTCTGGGTTGCCACCGGCTCTCCTAGTTGGAGGCGAGCGAGAGGCAACCAATCAATGTATCTCTTGCACATTGATGTTTCCCTTTCTCCCTCTCCTCCCCCCTCTGTAATAAGTAAATAAAAGCTTTAAAAAAAGGTAACATTTACATTATTTCTTCTCTTCCTCATTCCTACCCCCATCATATTTATGCCTTGTATGCTCATGGGTGAATCTTGAGGTCACCCCGGTTTTCTCAGGGTACATTCCCACAGGAGAAGCTGATGGGTTAAAGGATATGCACAGGTTGAGAATTTCTGGAGGTGATAATAGTTTGCCTTACAGGCAAATGTCTTCAGTCATTAACCCACATTGGGGAAATCTTACTTCTTTTTAAAATGCCCGTTTTATTGTCAAAAATGGACATCTTTGATTTTATTCACTTCTTTGATCACTAGGAAGGATAAATATTTTTCCCTCTGGCTCATGGCCATTTGTACTTATTTTGTGATTTGCCTGTTCCGCCCTTTTGCCCATTTTTGCACTTGGTGTTTATTCATCTTTGTCAAAATGACTTGTTAGAATTTTTGATGTCTGTGAAACTCAGTTCTGTGATATATGTTGCAAATATTCCCCCCACTCAATTACCTTTTAGTTGTGTTCACAGTGTATTTTGATATTTGTGGAAAGTCAGATTTTTCGTATTTTCTCTCTGTGGATTTTGCACTGGTTTTTCTGTAATAGGGGCAGTGCACATACCCAAGCAGACTGTTTCATTCCAGCGTTGTTGGGTGGGTGGGGCAAGGCTTCTCCTTCCCATCACCATCCCATCCCCCAGCGGAGGAGCCTCTGTTTCTGCCTTTGAAAGGAGTCCTTCCTTCTCCCATGGAAGGGAGAGAGGTCCTTGGGGTACAGAGTTGAAGAAGTGCCTTTTAGTTCTTTTGGTGGTTCCCTCCATCATGCTACAAACCAAACATACGCGTGTGTTATCTCTGTATCCATTTCTTAAGGTGGCTGTGCCGCACAGGCGTTTATTCTCCCGCAGTTCAGGGGTGAGAAGTCTGAAGTTGAGGTCTGCGCTCCCTCTGAAGGCTCCTGGGGAGAGTCTTCCTGCCTCTCCGGCTCCAGTTGGCTGCTGGTGTCCTTGGCTGTGGGGGCACCACTTCTGTCTCGGCCTCTGGGTTCATGTGGTGTTGTTCTCCGGGTCTCTTGGGTGTCACATCCTCTTACAGGATATCAGTTTTGGGAGTTAGGGTGCACCTGACACCCAGGATGATTTCACCTCAAGATACTCAACTAATTTCATCTGCAAAGACCCTGTGTGCAAATAAGGTCACAGTCAGAGATTTTGGGTAAACGTGAATTTTGGGGGGATGCTATTCAACTCACTGCAGTTACTGTGGAGGCCACCACTGTTATTCTACATAATGAAAACATGCCTTTATTTCTTGTTTTAGATGACGCATAAAGCTCAGTAAGTCAAAACATAGCATCTGGCTTCCTTTTTTCATGAGATCATCTGAGTATCTCTGCGAAGCTTGGAAGCCCATACCTCCTACTTTTATCGTTAAAATGAGGTCAGATCCTCCTTTTACAATGTGGCCAGATGTACATTTTAAATATCTTAAGAGTTTTTGTCAATTATACCTCACTAAAGCTGGAAAAAAGAAAATTCTGTTAAAATGTGTTAAAAGGGGAAAATATTGTTATTTGACTAAAACACCAAAGACTAGCGAGGTGAAATGATTAGCCTCCTTCATCCCCACTGCATTAAACAGCTTATTTCTGAAGTGCATTTTCTAAGTCAGAGATTCACTGAGCTTTATTTTAGGATTCATTTGGAATGTTTGGTATTTCTATTAATTATCTTGAAGCTCACTGGTATCCCTGTGATAAATTAAAAGGCCTTTCCACTAGAGTTTTCACATTTCCAATTTGCACATTTTCATGGCATTAGTAAAGGGATAAACATCTAAAAGTAATTCACAGTGAAAAAAGGGAGTTCTAGAATTTGAGGATAGCCTGTCAGGACCATCTCTGGTGTGGTCTGCAGATAAATGGGTTTAGTTCAAGTCTTGGATACACCATTCACTGTTGGCATCATCTCCAGTTCTAACTCCTCATCCGGGAGCAGACCTAGGAATAGAGCCCGGTTTTAGGGTGTTCGTGCAGATGAAGAAGTGGTTTTATGCAAAGCACTTAGAGCAGGTCTGGCATAGGGCGAACACCTAAAAATTGTTAGCTATTACCTCAAACAGGAACTTTATTTCTCCCAGGGTGTGTGGATGGAAGTGGTGCCCTTACTGAAGGCAGCTTTGCCTTACGTGACCGGGGGTGCACCCACCGTAGGGCATGTGCGGATCCAGCTAATATATATAGTTCGTGTTACTAATTTACAAAGTCAAGAAGCGTGCATAGCTTCTTGCTTTCTTTAAATTTTTTTAAAAGATTTTATTTATTTATCTTTAGAGGGGAAGGGAAGGAGAGAGGGTGAGAAATATCAATGTATGGTTGCCTTTCATGCATTCCCAGCTGGGAAACGGCCTGCAACCCAGGCATGTGCCCTGACTGGGAATCAAACCTCTATCCTTTGGTTCCCAAGCTCGCGCTCAATCCACTGAGCTACACCAGTTAGGGCACTTCTTGCTTTCTTAATAACATCTGGAGAAAAAGAACATGCTTCTGTGACAAATTTTAAGGCCCAGGTATTGAGAAATATATGACAAAAATTGTATATACTCACTGTAGAAATTTTGAAAATACAGAAAAAACGAAAGCGACAGTGACCTATGATCTTCGGTGGGCTTTAAAATAAAATCGCCGATGCTGGTGGTGTCCGCCTGGGGCACCATTAATCATTCCATCCACCCAGGGCCTGCTTTGGGGAGTGGCTAACTTGGCACGTTGGGGCTGTGAGCTACACTCCGGTGGAATCATCTCAACCGTTCATCCTGATGTGAATGAATTGGAGCCATCGTCCAGGGACAGGACCTCCTTTCTCATCACAGGCGCCTGCCTGGGTGGGAAGGTGACAGGCCTCCAGGCCTCTGGGACATTGGCAAAGGGGCCATGCATAAAGCCCGGCGTCCCTCCCTGTTCCAGGACACCAGGGATCCACCTCCGCCACCGCCTGGAGGAGCAGGGACTTCAAATATAAGAGACTCAAGTATCCAGGAGGACTGGATATCCCCTGAGGGGCCTTTGCCCCTAACGCCCTTGATCTTGGTGTTGCAACCGTCAGAAGAGTTGCATTTGGGCTTCTTACTAGATTCTGAATCCCTCCACTTTGAACATAATTAAAATTATATAAATAAGATGGATAGAGCCTGTGACAAACAGATGAGTTAACCCCCTTCCTCCCCCCCCCCCCCCCCAACATAGTGAGACGATTTGCTTGCTGGAGGCCTTGCATTGATGGGCCCGCCACAGTCTCCCTGCCTCGTCTGGGGTGTCGGTGAAACTTTACCCATCCACGATCTGTCAGTTTCTGTTCTTAAACAGAAACAGGTGTGGTCAATGAGAAAGTGGAAGGAGGCCACTCATAAAGGAATCCATTGTATGACAGTTCACTGATTTTGTTTTGGGGCCACCGGAAAACCATAAAGGAAGGAAGCCACTCTTCATCTATTTAAAGGCCTTTGTGACTCTTCAGGCCCTGCTTGTGGTTTGCCAGAAGCCCTGTAAACACAGCCTCTTCTGAGGCTCAGTTGGTTGTCCTGGGCCTTTCCAGCCCCCAAGAGCGCCTCCTCCCTTCTCTTGCCTCCGCAGGGTGCCCCGCCTGCCTCCACCCCAAGGCAGCCCTGCACAGGGCTCTGATTGGTGCGCGGTGCAGCCTCGCCTTTTACGGACTGTTGTCGGGCATTTGAAGTGGTAAGGGAAAGGGTCCAGGGACTGCTTTTATCAACCAATCAAAAATCTTCCTGACAGGTCCCCAAATATTCCCGGGCCAATGGAAAGGACAGTCCAAGATGCCTGGCCTGCTCCCGGGAGAGGCAGACCTTAAGGCGCAGCGGGAGGGGCAGGAGCTCAGAGGAGCGCTGGGCCCCGCCAGCCCCGCCCGGCGTGCGCTGGGCTGTGTCGCTGTCAGGATTTGTCTGGCGCCGCGTTCCTTCACAGGGGTGTGTTGGGGGGAGTCCTCTGCCCGACTATCAAAATGGTTATCAAAGTGTTTGTTGCCACATCTTCTGGGTCCATAGCGGTAGGTGTCTGATGGAATTTGTGGGCTTTCGTCCTAGGCTATTTTCCGAGTCGCGCAGACTCGGAAAGGAGCGGGGATGGCCCAGCGCTGGCTTTAAATGTCTTTTTGAGGAGTGTGTGAGTAAAACGGCGGCTCTGCAGCGAGCCCGCGTGCCCTTGCTTTCCGCGTTCGTTTTCACGGTGTCGAGGAAGTGTGTAAGCTGGGTGTGAAAGGAGACACGAGGAAGGGGGCATGTTTGAGTCTAGACTTCTTAACAAGTGATTTGTGTCCTATTGTGTTGCTTATATTATGGGATCAAAGGCTTTTTGTTTTTGTTTTTGCCTTTTATTTTCTTTTTGTCGAGTGCTTTTGCCATTCATTCTGCAGGAATTAGATAAAAGTTGCAAAGAAAGGAGAGTTGTTTAACAGTATTTGGACTAGAAGACTAAAACGACTCCCGGGTGTAATTCCTTGTGTATGCAGTGTAACCGAACCAAAAGTGTAATACTATTATTTGAGGAAAATGATGTCACAGTGACCAGAGCAAACATCCCTAAGGCCACAGTTTTAAATTCTCCAGGAATCCAGACAGACCGAAAATAGGCTCTACACACCGACCCCATAGCCGAGCTTTCCTTGGGACCAGGCTGGGAGTCAGCCACCCGCCTGTCCAATCCCATCCTTCCTTCTGGGCACCAGAGACTTGCCTGGAGAGATGGGATAGTGGAGGGATGATTCCGGCTTTGGTATTGACGTTCGGACCGCATTTTAGCAGGCGTTTGGGAGGCTGTGGAAAGAAAACAGTTTAATTAATCCTGAGACTTAGAGACCAGGGAGGGGGCTGTTTCCTTTTATATCCAGGCCTGGACTGGCTCGGGTGACAGCTAGGGTTTCATCAGTCACTGAGTCAGGGCTGATAGTCTAGGTGAGCGGAGGGTGGGAACAGCGCCAGCAGCAGCCACTGAAGGCCCTGCTCCTGGTTCCCGCGGATGCCAGAGAGGGAGAGGGGAAGACGAGGGAAAGGAGCCTGCCTGTCACTTCTGAGCCCCACTGATCAGCAATGGCTAGTGATTTCTAGAACATCTTTCAACAGAAAGAATTGAGGAGAAATTCCAAATGTAAAGCTCTGTGAACTATTTCGTGGTCGTCGATGACCTCAGAAACTTTGAGCTGACCTGCAAGGAGCACACATTTTTTTGGTCATTTAGATAAAAATAACTTTTGAGGAAAATGGTTCTAGTGGGTTTTAAATATGCTGTTGATCTTTTCCTGGGTAGGGGTGTTCTACCCAGAAGCTTCTCTGTCGGAGAAGCTCAGGGCAGGTGCCGTGACTCGGGCTGTGTGCGGGGCCTCGGTCTGTAACGCTTTGCTCCCTGCGCCTTTAGCCTGTGTACTTCAAAAACGAGTTCGAGCCTCTGACCTGGTCAACAGGGGCAGCCAGGCAGTTGTTGGATGAGTGAAACACACGTAAAAGGGAGAACCAGACTGTATCTCTTCGTGAGGGGTTACAGCTCTGCCCTGGGTGTTATGGCTCTAACAGTGGATGTTAAAGTGAGGTTTCCATGGTGGGGTTTGGGTGAAGGGACCCTGGCAGCGAGAGAAGGCCTGTGCCCCCTGTGTGACCCTCTTCTTTTCCTGAAGGCCACTGTCACAGCGGGTTGGGGGACAGAGGGAGAGAGGACAGTCCTCACAGTTTTCAAAATGCACAGCTCTAGAACGGCAGTCTTTGGGACAGATCTTCACGGGGCTCTTGGGTCCCTCAGTCCTTTCTCCAGCCTTGAGTGAGTGTGAACACAGTGGGAAAACAAGGCTCTTGAATTCGGTGGATCTGGGTACAAGCCTTGGAAACTGTTTGTATTCCCTGGTGCCTTTATTATTTTAAAATGGTGAGCAGAATTCAGAGCCAGCAATGGTGGTCAAGGCAGGTAAGTCAGGTAACTGTGCTGCCGGGTGGCCGACAGAGCAGGTTCTCACCTCAGGGTACGACATGCTTTTCCTCGGGTCTCGTTCCTGGGTTCTCAGCAGGACCTGGGAGGAGGGGGCACTCTGCCCGGCCTGCGGAGAAGGCAGGTGGCCAGCAGAGCGCCTGATCAGACAGAGTCCTTGTGAGCCGGCATGGAAACGCAGGTCGCCGCTCACTCAAGTACACTGTGCTTTTTACTACAGCACCGTGACCTCGGTTGGAAAGGCTCCTAACTGTACGAGACGATAAACAGACGAGTGTCCCAAAGATCACTCTGACACATTAGCGGGCCCAACAGCGGCCGGGTGACTTCAGGACAGAGCGCAACACTTTTGTCTGAGTGAATGTGGCGGGATAGGAAGCTCTCTGAGCCAGTGCTGCGGTCCCAAAGGCTCCAAGTGACACAGACCCCTAAGAACCCCCAGATCCTCAAGAGCAGCTGTACCTTCCTGGAGCCGCCATTGGCCATGGCGCCCCGAAGGGGAAAAGGGGTGAGAAGTAGAAGCAGCAGCGTGGCCATGAGAACTCCTGGGGCGCTGTGCCTGCCCTTCCCCCTGAAGCCAGGAAGAGGAGACGCCCTCTGATGCCTTGTTCCTGGAGGTTGGCTCAGGAGGATGCGTGAAGAGCTGTGCTTTGACTGAGGGTCTGGGGGGTGTCTTGAACGGAGACCCATCAAGGGGAAGGGCTGTAGGGGAGAGTCTCCCTGCTCAGGGCGGGCATCAGGGTGTGGGCGAAGGCAGCCATGCCAGCCAGGCAAGCTCACATGCTCCCTACTCCCCTCCCCTGACTTCATCCTAAGACCCTTTCCCAGCCCTGGCAGGACTCAAGGTCAAGGGCTCCAATAGCCAGATGCCTATACCTTTGGCCGCATCTCAGTTACTAGTGTTTGGGAGGTACAGAGGGGTACATTTAACTTTTCTTCCCTTTCTTTTGATGGGGGCTGAGAATAGCATTTTATGCAATATGACGCATCCAACAATCCTTGGCTTCCTGAAGACACCAGTGTTTGTCTTGTGAGAGATAAGAGTAAACAGGTCTTCCCTTCCGTCTTCCCTGTCTCTCTGGTTTTCTCTCAGAAGAAACACGGGAGGACTTTGGACGCTTCCCATCTATTCAGAAATCATGGGATGAAATGAAACCCCTTCGCCATCTCACTGCAAGTCCCGGGGGGTGATTGATAGGGATGAAAATAATGTTGGAGCGGTGGCAGCGGACCTTGGCCAGGCTGCTTTGGCTCCTGAGGGGTATTTGAGAAGGAAGGAAGACAGGGGTTTGGACAGAATAAAGGATGTTGTCTTCAGAATATTTAATTAAAGGTACACCTGCCTGAAATGAAGACACCTCCGCTCTTCAAAACAGCGAAATTATCTCTGAAAATATCTAAAGGAATAAGTAGTTTTGGATAGGTAGGAAAAAGTATGTAGAGGCAATATGATTAATTAAGATAATACGTTTGTCCAATAACCTGTCGTCAGGTCGGATGGGATTTTATAATGTTCAGAAAGGGCACTGGGAAGCTGTGGGGTCTGGGGCCCAGTTTCCAGAGGAGGGGCGGGAGGTCTGGGCCCGATCCCGTCCTCCCCCCAACCCCGACGCAGCCTTGGGAGGGACACAGGGCTGGAGGAACAAGCAGGTCCTCCTGCGGTTCTAACAGACGCTGACACTCAGGAACGTGCCCACGTGATGACGCCGGAAGCTCAAGAAAAATCCCATTATTCCACATTATTCTGTATGACTTTTATTATTTTTTTTTTGTCCACACTTGCCCCAAACTGAAACACATATCTTGGCGCAACTCTTACTGATTTGAAGTGTTGTATTGTGGCTAACAACCACCTTTAATTTATTAATCTAAGAGAATGCTCTTGTTTGCAATATCCTTGTCATGTTGATGGTACAAATGCTGATTAAAAGATAAATGTCTGATTACCACTAATATATATATGTGTATATGTAATTTATATGTAATTTACTTTGTTAAAAATCAGTATTAGTTTTTATTATATTTATAATTAATATAACATATACAATCAAATCACCACCCCAAACAAATTGGGGCACAAGTGTCCAGGGCTTAAGCGTCTACATGTACCTTACTTTTCCTTTAATTAAGAAAGAAACACTTAATACTGAAGTTGTTGATAGAATCATTCACTTTGGCAAAAATGAATAAAATAATTTTTGTTGGCATACTAACCTCTATGAAAGAAATCGGGTTTAAAACCATTTTTAATGTCTTGATTTCATTATTAGACAATATTCAGAGGACTTAAAAATTAAGATATTGGATATTTCATGTCAAAAATACTTAAATTTTTAATCTTAGTTTAAAAATGACTATATTTTGCCTTTTTATAATCTTTATCTTGTTATATATTTTAATTTGTATCAATGACTTCTTTATATTTTCCTTTTACCTAAATAACAGCTTATAAACCTTTCAGATGAAGAGCTTGGCACAATTTCTGGTGCAGATTAGACAGTCAATAAGCAAGTATTGATTGATGGTTCAATTGATCATTCTGGAACAGGGATGTCAAACTCATTTTCACTGGGGGTGGCATCAGCCTTGCGGTTGCCTTCAAAGGGCCAAATGTCATTTTAGGACAGTATAAATGTAACTACTCCTTAACTGGGGGCAAGGAGCTCAGCACTGCTGCCGGGTAGAAACAAGGTGCCGGGCCAGATAAAACAAGGTGGAGGGCTGGATTTGGCCCATGGGCCTTGTGTTCGACACCTGTGCTCTGGAAGTTTCTCCCAGATGTGGTTGAAATCTGCAGCTCAGAGTCTGCGGTAACCTGTTTACCAGTGTTTCTAAAAGAGGGCATCACAGGACTTCTGCCAAGATGGAGGCATAGGTGGATGTGCCGTGCCTTCTCACACAACCAAGTTTAGAGACAACTAAATATTAGCAACAGAAAACACAGCCAGAACACGGAAAATTGAACTTTTCGGAAGTCCGTTAACAACAAATTCTTCAGCCTGACGGGTAAGGGGCGAAACCAGCGGCTGGTGAAGCAGGATTGCACAGGAGGACTCGGTCAGACGGACTCAGGCACGGAATCCAGACGCGCGGAATCCAGGCACAGGGTTGGACCTAGTGAGCGACCGCGGGGGAGACAGCGGGGGAGCGGTGCTGCATGTTGACTGTGGTCGTGCATTTGTGTGCGGGGGGACAGGCGAGGGAGTGGGAGGTTGGACCGGGGCTCGGCGGGTCCCCGCGGCAAGCGGCAGTGGAGGGCACCACCATTTCCCCGCTCTGACCCCACCTCCACATACAGCGTCATAACCCAGCGACTCTGAGTGGCCCGGCCCAGGTGAACCACCTAAGGCGCAGATCATCACCCAGCTGTGAGAAACAGCAGAGGGGGTCGCTATTTCCCCGCTCTGACCACGCTCCCACATATAGCGTCACAACCCAGCGACCTGGGAGTCCAAGGCACCGCTTCTCACACTTAAAGGGCCAGAACAGACCGAAAATGTCGCAAGATCTCAAAGCCCCAGAGCCCATAGATCTAAGCGATGAAGAAATAGCAAAACTCTCAGACGCACAGTTTAAAACACTGGTCATCAGGATCCTCACAGAACTGGTTGATTATACCGACAAATTAGACAAATATATGAAGGCGAAACTAATTGAAATGAATGGAATTGCACAGGACACCAATAGCAATGAAAAGGAAACTGGGACTCAAATCAATGGAGTGGACCAGAAGAAAGCAAATAATGGCCAAACAGAAAAGAGTCAAGAAGCAAGAATTCAAAGAAATGAGGAGAGTCTTAGGAACCTCCAGGACATCTTTAAACGCTCCAACATCCGAATTATAGGGGTACCAGAAGGGGGAAAGGCACAGCCACCAGTGGAAAACTTATTTGAACAAATAATAAAGGAGAATTTCCCCAATCTGGCAAAGGAAATAGACTTCCAAGAAATCCAGGAAGCTCAGAGAGTCCCAAAGAAGTTGGACCCAAGAAGGAACACACCAAGGCACATCATAATTACATTAGCCAAAATTAAAATGAAGGAGAGAATCCTAGAAGCAGCAAGAGCTAAGGGGATAGTCACCTACAAAGGAGTCCCCATCAGACTGTCAGCAGATTTCTTACAGGCAAGAAGGGGCTGGAAAGAGGTATTCCAAGTCATGAAATCCAAAGACCTACAAGGAAGATTGCTCTATCCAGCAAAACTTTCATTTAGAATGGAAGGACAGATAAGGTGCTTCTCAGATAAGATCAAATTCAAGGAGTTCATCATCACCAAGCCCTTATTATATGAAATGTTAAAGGGACTTATCTAAGAAAAAGAAGTTAAAGAAACATGAACAGTGAAAGGACAACAAACTCACAGTTATTAACAACCACACCTAAAACAAAAGCAAACTAAAAGGACAGCTAGATCAGGAGTGGAAACATAGAAATGAAGATCTCAAGGAGGGTTAGCAACAGGGGAGTGGGAGGAGGAGAAGGGGGGGAGAAGGTACAGAAAATAAGTAGCATAGACAGTAGATAGAAAATAGATGGGGGGGCAAGAATAGCATGGGAAATATAGAATCTAAAGGAATTGAGACATGGTCATAAACTAAAGAGGGGTAATGGTGGGGATGGGGGGGTAGGGTGGAGGGGAATGAAGGGGGGAATAGAACAACTGTAACAGCATAATCAATAAAAAAATTTAAAAAAAAGAGGGCATCACGCATTTCTGGGAGAGAGTTCTTTGACTGAGAGAAAATTGTCATTTTTTTCTGGAAAGGGCTTCTCAGCTCTGAAGATGGCCACCTTCGTAAGAAGTGGCAGTTGGTGGAACAGGCACACACGTTGGCCCCAGGCTGAGCAAAGGTGTGGCCTTCAGAGCCTGTGTGAGCGGGAAGGGAGAACTGTCCGGGAGAGGAGAGCTGTTTCACTGCGCTACTCTTGTGGCCACCAGGAGAAATGTCCCCCAGCTTCCCCTGCCCATTCTCTGTCCTTCCCCTGGCAATGACCGCCACGTGGGCTTTCAGTTTCCCCTGTTGCTGAACTCCTTTTGTCCCGTTTGACTCATGTTCCTGTTTTCAGAACTGCGACTGAGTGCATTCGTGTGGGTGTATTGGTATTTGAGTTTCATAGTAAATTGCCATTTTTTTCTTTCCTTCTTCATCGTCTCCCAATCATTGTTTTTCTTCTTGACTGATTCTTATTTGTTTTTTGGCATTAAAACTTAGGGGAGAAAAGGAGTTTGAAGATCTCACACAAAAGCTGTGATGAGAACATGTCTCTTTTTACTGGATTAGTTATACCATGATGCGTTTCAAACACTGATGCGTTTAAAACTTCAAAATTTAAGTAATCACTCTGCTTATCCTTAGAAAGAGGTGTGATTTTATCTTTTTTTGTTTAAATACTTTGAAAAATTATTTCTGTTGTATATATATAGTATAGTTGGATAAAAGATTTAATTTATGTAAATAGAAGCAAAACATTAAAAAAACCAGTCTAATTGTTATCTTTCTCTTCTTTTGACCAGATTAGGAAAAAACAACAAGAAGTGGTGGGCTTTTTGGAAGCTAATAAAATTGACTTTAAGGAGTTAGACATAGCTGGGGATGAAGACAACAGGCGGTGGATGAGAGAGAATGTCCCCGGAGAGAAAAAACCTCAGAACGGGATTCCTTTGCCTCCCCAGATCTTCAATGAAGAACAGTATTGTGGGGTGAGTGTTGGTTGCTTGGAAAATTCTTCTTGCATGTATGTTTCTCAGAAATTGGTTAAAGCCAATGACTTTGGAGGCAGCATTTGAAGCTGACATCTTTCAGGGCATGACCTGTTTCTATCATCCAACATCTGGATGGTAGATCCAGTGTGAATAAGCTGTTATCTGAGCTTTACAACACGATAGAAACAACAAAGTGATGATTCAGTAGTTCCTGGGACTAGTTTAGGTTCCTTATCTTATCTGAAGAACCGAGGACACGTGTGTTCAAACACAACATGCCTTTAGTTGGAAGGACTTCTGATCCACCCGGCAGTGGACACACGTGCACCCCAGAGAGGCAGGGTAGCTTTCACGTTTATCGAGAATGATCTGCAGAAGTCCAGTCTTACTATGGATGCAGGATAAATACATGTGTGTAAGTCTGTCTAAGTGGTTTAAAACCAGTCCTGGACATTCTGATTGCAACGGCAGTTTTATTGTGTGCATTTAGTGGTTCTTGTCACCGTAAAATCACTTCTTCTTCACAGTTTACAGATTCTATTTAGTAAACCAAATTGTTGAACAGGAGGGACATCTAAAAACCCAAAGGACTTTAGAACCCGAGAATGGGCAGTTATCTCGGGGGTCGTCTAAGCCCTTCTCAGTCACTTTTCAGACGCCGCCATGTAAGTGGCCTGTATGTGGTTTTAGGTGTCTCGACACATGGAACGGTAGGGTCAGCAGTAGCACAGCTGAGTTGGTTCGAGTGGTGTCTGGCTTAGGCGAGGCCGCCCAGGCTCCTGTCTCTGCGTGAACCCTTCTGTGACGCTGTTGAAGCTGCGTCACAGCCCTCATGACTAAGATTGGCTGTAATAAAGTAGTCTGGGGGAAGATCGTTTGTATTTTACTGAAAAAAAAAAAAAAAAAAAAGGAACTCTTCTGAGTCGTTGACAACTACCCTACTGCAGAGTTGGTTTAGGTCTGGATCCCGGGTGAAGAGCTGACCCCGGGGTGGGGCCTGAGCTGGGTGGGGGTGGAGCTTCCCCAGCTTCAGCTTTCCATGGACTGCTGGGTTTAAGATCCCAGTTTCCTCCATTTTGCCCAGACAACCTCTGCTCCGAGCCCTCCGTGATCTGGTGGCTCCTGGTATTGGAAGGGCCTGAGATGAGTCTGTGCCTTCGGAAGCTACTAGAACAACAGCAGAGAAAGCCTGTGTTGTTTTAGTCTCTGCTGATCAGCCCCAAATCCTAGGGTGGGTTAGGAAACCAGCTAAAGCTGTGAAACCTTTGGAGAAGCCTTTTACTGTGCACACCTATCTGAGTGGTAGCAATTTCTGAGCATGAACAGTGTGCGTGTGTGTGAGCGAATTCTCACTGCACTGCAATAGGCATATTGAAAGTGTGTAAAAACAAATGTAAAGTTCACAGATTTCTTAACTTTGGGGATTAATCATCTTTGGCAGAGCAAATCTGCATAACCTAAATTAATGACTAATAAGAAAGAGATCAACTTAGGTGAGAGTCCTGGCTCATAAGTGGGCAGTGGGTTTACACATTCTTTTTCTTTGTTCCAGGATTTTGACTCTTTCTTCTCTGCAAAAGAAGAGAATATTATTTATTCGTTCCTGGGTTTGGCTCCCCCGCCAGGCTCAAAGGTAGGCTGTAATACGTGAAGACAGAAATCAGCATTCAAGACTGTTTAATAAATGATGATATTTAAATTAACATGATTTTAATACACTCCTTATTCTGATGAACTCTTATGCATAGAGATAATGCAAAGTTTTTACTAACACGTGTTCCAAAACTATGCTTTTCATATTTTTCCTTCATTATTCTTTATTATACAGAAATAAAAATACATGAAAGTTTTACAGTAGCTTTAAAAAAGAAATATCATTGCACTCAATAATCTGAGGTATGCTAATTAAAAGTGTAAGAATATGAGTTCCCAGGTTGTGTTTATGAAATTTTGTTATGAATTCTCATATATGTTATTAGTTAATTTTATAATGATATATCACCTACTTTGATTCCTTCTATTTAAAATAAATTAAGCTCTGCTTTTTTAGCTTGATAAAGAGGGAAAAAGTAAGATCTAGACTCAAGAACAAGGTGAGTTTCATTAGGTTTTTTTTTCCCCTCCTGGTGCAGTTTCATCTTTAATTACGTATAATTACACCTATTAAATAAAGAATTGTGCCAATAGAGTTAATGTCACAAATTCGTCCAGTAATGCTCACCCAGCCTCCCTCGTTGTGGTGACCCCTGCATTCCTCAGCTCTGCCACCAGCCCTGCACAGGACTCTCCGCAGACACAGGACAAGCACCTGTTGGATTCATTTATTTCTTAATTTATTTGTTTGCTTGCGTGTGCCCAGCTTCATTTCTAGTGAGATATGAGATGACCGAGCCCAAATTAATTCTCACTGTAGGAGAAACAACCCAAATCGACCTTGTAGAGGTTAGAGGTGGGCTTATCCCAGAGGCGTGTGTCTTTCATGTGTCAGCAGTCTTCGGGTAATGACATTGAGGTGTCCTAGTGCTTAGGCTAACACCTACAGGCCTGGCACTAACGCCTGCCCCAGACAGTAACACGTAGACTCCACAGTTGGTTAAGGGAATATAAGAGGCAAAATCCTTCCTTTTTAATGGACTACCTTGCTGGCTTTGGCCAACTTAAATGTAGCCTATTACGTACACTTTAGTAAGAGTGTAGAACAAGTACTAAAGGGTACTTGTTCTACACTCTTGGAAATTACATGGAAATTACATTCCATGCAGTTTCATCTTTTTTTGTTTGGTATAGGAGTGTGTTAACTGGGTCACGTTAGTTGAGTTACTATATTTCAAGGCTGGTGCCTTCATATTAAGGTCCATTCCTTGGTGGGGACACTCAGGACACTTGTGTCTTGGTGGGTGGAGGGAAGAGTGTTGTAGGCAAAGGGAAGAGCTAAGTGGAAAGGCTCTGAGGCAGGAGGGAGCTTGGAGAGATCTAGGGCCTGCCATGGGGCCCACATGCTGGAGCTGGGGGAGGGCCCCCCAGAAGTCGGCAGCGGCAGGCGGGCAGTGCCCTGGACCCTATCTTAGGGGCAATGAAGACTGGTAAGTGTTTTGAGCAGAGGGGTAAAGGAACCTTACTTCCTTCTTTAAAACTCATTTTGGCTACTGTGGGATGAATGGATTGGAGAGGTCAAGCTGTAACAGTCATTCAGATGAGATGTTATGGCTCAGACTAGGGTGGTGGGGATAGGACTCTACAGAAACGGATGATTTTTAGGGTCTGTTTTGGAGGAGGATTTGATGAGACTTGCTGATGGGGCTTTGCTAAGACCTTTGGTGGTGTCAGCATTGCTTGGGTTTGTAGGTGTTTATGTGTGCACATGGCAAAGTCCTTCAACTATCCTTTGGGAAGACAGGCACTTGATTTATGGAGATGATATTATTTGTCACAGTGTCTTTTTGTAGTAAACAACATTGTGGAGAAGTCAGCAAGGAAATTAATCTCGCCAAGGCTAAAAATAGACACTCTTGACAATTCTGTAGAAATGTACCCTTATAAAAATGATAGTAAGTACCATAAGGAGCATTATTGCTTTTAGAAAGTTTTTCTTGTCTCAGGCAGGTTGTGCCAGACCAAGTGCCAGGCTAGTTTTCCCAGGTGGGCTTTCTAAGTATGCTTTGACTCTATCAAGTCTACCATTGTTCTTTACAAGCATCTGGTCACATCTGATTAAATGAGCATCATTTGTAATCCCATGCTCCAGTGGAGGCCTTGGTTGTATAATTTTGCCCTAGTAATAGGGAATACGGATTCTCACTGAGCCAAGGCAAATAACTCTACTGCCATAAAGAATAAAAGAATTTAGTACGAATTTTTAAAGTCTGGAGGGGTCAGGCAGAGAGAATATCATTTACAAACATTTCCTTTCAACTTACAAATGTGGAGTCTACTACATTGTTATGCTTTATAAGAAGCTTAAGAGGAAGGCCAGAGGGCTTCCTTATGTATCCAGAATATAGAACATTAAGGTGACGTCAGCAATACTGCAAACAAAAGCTACCATCCCCCCTCATCGACTCCTTTAGTCCTGTGAACGTGATTCTTGTTCCACTGGATCTGGGGTTAGGAGTCTCACAAAGCCATCTGCCCCTTGACCACAGTTCTGGAAATCCGGACGTAGGATTGCAAAAGCTTATAGGGAAGCCTCAAAGTAAAACTAGCTAAGACAAATATCCCTGGCTGACCAGAGACCTGAGATGATTGTGGTTAGTTCATTACTGATCATTTTCAGCCATGAAAGGCTTGATGCGAATATAACAAGAATAAGGCCACCTGACGAGAAAATTCGGTAGTTTCTGTGGTGTGCAAACAAAATAAAAAGTTAGTCCAAGAAAGTTTTAGATAAAAGATCTACAAACATAATCACAAAGGCTATTTTTGAAGAAGACAGCAAACATTATACTTTATTGGTAAGAATGGGCGAATACAGGAAAGATATTGCTATAACATAATTATCTAGACACTGTCTATCCTGCAAATATATCAAGCATATGTACCATGCAATATACCGTGAATACTAAGCATATTTGTACCGTATGTGGTAGGGATACATCAAGACTATCAAGTAACGAGATGCAGCAGGTCTGGAGTAGGTCCCAACACCTATAAATTAATAAAACTGTATGTGTAGGTGACGGGCATCGCCAGCTGAAAACTACTGTCCTAAAACGTGCTTCACTTATTGAACTCATTCTGCCATTACTCAGAATTGCTTTCCATGAGAGCCCCCTAATCATACCAGAAAACGAGTATTGAAACCTTTGGTTACATGTCATTTATGTCTAGATTGAAATGAAAGAAGTAAAGTCACAAACATTTAAAGCAAGTAACTGAGGTTATGGTTGATAACATGTTATTGTCAAATGCCAGGCCGTGAAGCACTAGGGTCAATGTTTTTCATGCGTTATTTTAGGGCAATGTTGCTAAGATACCAGTGGAAACTACCCAGTTACATCTTTAGAGAGATCCCCCCGAGTCAGTAAAGATAAGTCCAGTCATGACAACGTTAGAGCGTGACATTTACCGAATGCTGTTGGGGTTGACTATTCAGTGTCAGCACTTGTGTGTCCTGGTGAGTGCTGTCCTTGCGGGAGCCCCCTCAGGAAGTCCTGACATCACAGCAGCAATATTGACATTGCCACAAAGAAGTTTCAGGCCCTGGGTGGTGTGGCTCAGTGGGTTGAGTCCCAGCCTGCAAACCAAAGGGTCGCTGATTCTATTCCCAGTCAGGGCACATGCCTGGGTTACAGGCCATGTCCCCAGTAGGAGGCACGCCAGAGGCAACCACACATTGATGTTTCTTTCCCCCTCTATCTTTCTCCCTTCCCCTCTCTCTAAAAGTAAATAAATAAAATCATTTTTTTAAAGAGATATTTCAGATCTTGTTAGAGACCTGGAGGCATCTTTTAGCAGAAGATGGATTCTGAGGATGCATCCAAGGCTGGTGACTAACACACTGATAGTATGTCTGGATAATACAATTTTTGGCCCCAAATGACGTGTGATTAAAAGTTCTGATAGTCATTTTCTGAACTGATTAGTGGGCTCCCCTTGAAAGCACTTTTGAGCGGTGGCAAAACTTTTTAAACAAGGGCAGCATGTCCCAGTCACTTGCTGGAGGAAGAACAGACAGTTCAGATGCCTGCAAATGAGGGAGCCTGAAGGGGGGAAGCAGAGGGAGACTTGGAGAAGCGTGGGAGCGGTCCGTAAGAGACATGACCTTGGAGCGGAAGCATGCTCTGGAATTTCCTCATTAACAACTGCAAGATGAACAGCAAGGAACACAGACACCACCACACTCCTGTTCAAGAAGATCAGCAGTGGAAATACCTCAAACACGAACCAAAACACAGAGAAAGAGGAATCACGAGGGAAAGTCAAGAATCAAGAATCAGGTCTCCAACACAGGAGACCTGGTGTGTGACTAACAGGAGTTCCGGAAAGAACGAATAATTAGAGAGATCCTGGTGAGCCTTCTGGTTGGAGATGATGCTGATTCCTTCCCCTGCAGCTCCTTTTCTCATGACTGTGCAGGAAAACCAGACAGGGTGCTGCCCGAGGACCAGAAACTAGGAAAGAACCCTTGAAAAATGAAAAGCAAAAACGGTTGGTTTGAAGAAGGAAACCAAGGTGTGGCTCTCCGGGCCCTCCACTCCCTGCCGGAGCTGTATTCCAGCTGCGGGTGCCAGCTCTGGGCACTGGTTTGGAGCATCCTGGCAGGTGGAGCCCTCTCCCTCCCCTCCATACTGCCCTTCCATCCCAGCAGTGGGCAGTGGGCAGCAATGGTGCCTGCCACCTGGACGGAGCAGCGAGTGTGAGCTGGGTGGGCAGGCCCCAGGGAGCTGCCTTCCCCAGGAGGAAGAGGGAGAAGGGTAGATACTGGCAGCCAGCCTCCACCCTGGGTGTACATCCCCTGCGTAGCTGTTAGGGTTATAAAATGGAAGGGCTACCTCCAGGTCAATGAAGCCTTAAACTCTGGGGTGGGGGTGGAGAGCTCCCTGGTGAATTCAAAATGTTACTAATGTTGAGAACCACTTTCACTGTTATTATTGTAATAATAATGAAATCAAGAATTTTAAACTATCTTGGAAAAATCCAGGCGTGTGGAAGGGGACATGTGAAAAAGGGCGCCCATGAACATATGTATTATCAGGGGACGGTGTATGGATGGGAGATTCGTCTTTTCTTCTTCAGGCCTTCTGATTACATGCACGCCAAACCTTGTGTTGCTATTCCGTACTTATCTGAAGCTTTCTGCATTTAAAAAATATCTGGTTTCTCTCTGGCCCTCAAATTAGATGCTTTCCATCGTATGGATACACCATACTTTGCTTTTCCATTCGTTCTTTGATTGCCTTTGGATTGTTCCACCTCTTGGCTGTTGGAAACAATGTGAACTTGGGTGTGCAAATCATCCTCCTCTTTTATGGTCACCCATCCAAGTCCTTCTAGAATCTTCTTGTGCTGGTCCATTCTCCTCTTGTTTTGCCCTTTAAATTTTTTTTTTAATTTTCATTTAAAAATGTCTTGTCCCAAGTTCAGAGTCACCATGTGTTGGAGGCTGGGTCCTAGAGGGGACTTTGCAGCTGTTCTGCAGTTGGTGTTGTCAGTGAGGTTGGGTTTTAACAAGGATTGAGCCACATGTCATTCATAAGGGCAATAAAACAGTCATCCAAATAGAAATGGAAAGAAAAGAATGAGACTACAACAGACCTACAATAGAAACAAAAAGGAAGCTGGAGTAGAATTAATAGCATCAGATAAAGAGGAATTCAAAGCCAAAGGCATTAACCGGGGAAAAGGGGTATTATGTAATAGAAAATGGTATCAGGAGCTATTTTAAACATGTACACAAATATAATGAACAAACTTAATTTAGTAGAGATGTTCTACTAAACATATACATACACACAAGAATAATAATAGATAGAATTAATAGAATGTATTTCCCTTTTTTACTTATTAAATAGTTTCCAAAGCTGTCATACACTTGGTCACAGAAAACCTTCTTAAATTTCAAGAAGGGATGTTTTAGCAGACTGCATGCTTATCCCATATGTAAACTTACAATCCGAGAGGGAAACATCATAAAAATTTGAGAAGCAAATATACACCATTTAAAGTAACTCCATATTCAAGTGACAATAAAACTGATACTACAAACTGATACATCAAATAATAAGCAAAAGATTGTTTCACACCCTAATCCCAATATATAGCTGTGTTAATCAAAAGAGCACAAAGCAGGAGGTATAGACCCAGCCCTTACTCTGACTTGTAATTGATGTTTTCTGCCTTTACCTTCTGGTCTCTGGAGTAAGTGGTGGTGACCGTCCTCTATACTGAGGTCACGGTGTTGTGCAGAGAAAATGAAGGATAAAAGCAAAAAAACTCGAAGAGTTAAATGATGTTAAAATGCAAGCTATTATCCTCAAAAATACTCTGAAATATTTTCATTTTATACGACGCAGGAGACAAAGCCGACTGAGGAAGAGCCTTCCCTTCCCAATGGCGATGTCGTGGGAGAGGCCCTGAGTACCGCGGAGGTAAGCGTTGGTACCTTGAACTACCTTTCTGCAGACCAGTTTCCTCAGAGTGTCAACTTGGTCCTAATCCTTCTATATCTGTGTCTGTCTGTGCACCTTATCTACTATCTGTCATTCTGTGTTATTATCCATCCACCCACCCACCCATCCATTGATCTTTCCTCTTTTCTTTCCTTCCATCCATCAGTCCATCCATCCGCTAGCTATCTGTCTGTCTGTCTATCTATCTATCTATCACCTATCTAACCTTTTTAAATCTCTAAAATTATAAAGCCTCCCTCCCACAGGAATAACAGAAAACAAACCTTGCCTAAATATCGAATCCTTTAGCATCCTCTTCATAAGCCTTAAATAGGTAAATTGAAACTCCTCACTGGACACTTTATCACTCTACGGTGCTCATGGATCAGATCTGTTGAATTTCACCAAGAGCTCCAATCCGTGGTTTTGATGGGTGGTGACCTTATACCCTAGTACAGCAACTGTCACTCGGTGTGTGGGGACACACTAGGGGACACAAGGGTTTTTAAAACAGGCTATACCTGACTATTTGGTCAGGGACACTGACCGCTTTTCCCTTAGACTGTCACATACAAAAATGACAACAGCCAATACAACTATAGCCATCTGGTGTGAGTAAATCAAAATCGTACCTAATTTTTAAAGTCAGATTGGCAAGAAGTATAATATATTTTTTGGTGTGCCACAGAATTTTATTAATTGGTTTATGTGTGCCAGGAGATGACAAAGGTTGAAGATAGTGTCTCTAGCAGCTAAGTGACCTAATGAACAGGAGGCCTAAGATTGCTTTGTTTATACGGTGCGCATTGTGGTGAGGACACCACGGCACTTGTGGCCTGCCATTTCCTGGGATGTTTATCTCAGATAAACATCTGAGTGACTCAGGGGGTTTCCTTTATGACCAGGGAACGGAGACGGCTGAAGAAAGTGGTGAAAATGATGCACAAAAAGAGGACAAGGAGGATGAGGACAACCTCGCCGAGTCCCAGGAGAAGAACGTGAGTGCTGGCTGTTCTCACCTTGATTTCACGGGGCTCAGTTCTGTTCATCAAGCATTTACGGAGCTTTTCCCGGCTGCCAGGGATCTTCCTGGGCACAGCATGAGGATGGAAGGAGGGGGCCAGGGGTTTAGCCAGGGAGCAAGTGGGTCATTTTCATCTGATGTGTTAACTGCTGGGCTGGAGGTGGGTACAGGGCTCAAAGGAAGCCCGAGGATGGGCCCGAACCCAGGCCTGGGGGGGCCGTCAGACAAGACTTTAATGGCTTGTCATTGTGCTGTTAGGGTTAGGTTGAATTTTCATTCTTTATAGAACAAGGGACCTTACTCCTTGGTAATGAGTAAGGACAGGCTCCCAGCACACATCCACCAAGAGCACTGCCTGTTGGGGACACACGGCGCAGGCTGTTGTGTGGGAAGCCAGTGGGAGCTGAGATTAGAACAGAGGCCCCTGGGGAGGGGAACTGATATCAGTTAAAATCCAATCAGGGAATCGTAGCTCTCAGAGAATCCGCGGCCTGTTCCAATTGAGGGGGGTTCCAATTCAGGAGCCACAGCACAAAGGGTGGGGGAACGTGAGGAGGGGGAGAAGACTGGTTCTAGAAGCACCAAGCTAGATAATGGGAGACCAGATAGACTGCTTAATCCAAGAATTCTAAGAATGTGGCTGGGAAGGCAGGTAAGGGGGGACCCAGGAACGGAGGGAGTCTGAACAGGTGGGGTTGTGGGCATTGGGCTGAGCCTCCCTAGTCAGAGTTTTGCTGGCTCCTGCATCTGTGTAGCCACAGCAAAGACTGTTTACTGAACCCTGATGGTTTGCTCTTTTACCTAGTTATCGATTCCACAGCCATGTGGGTGGGTGGACCCCTGTTCCCAGCACATGGGCTGCGACTGGGAAGGGCATTGAGACCGGCAACCATGCTGTGAAAGTGGGGGTTTGGGGCGTGGGCATCAGTCCACCTTTGTCTTAAGGAATTTAAATCCGGGAGGGCCTAAGGCAGTAAACTCCTAGGATTTGAAGAGTGCTGTTTCAAAATATGCATAATTTAAGGCCCTTTGAAGTTATTTTTTTATTTTGAAGAAAGATGAAATCTTTAATTTTGACCTAGAAGTTAAATGGGGTTTCATGGCAGCCTGTATCATTCAGAAATAATAAAACTAAATGAAATATAGGGACAGTTTTATTATCTTATAATTTAAAAATCTGTTCTTATAATCTGAACTTGGCATGAATTGCCTCATGCATTTAGAGTATTACTGATGTATATATGTCAAGATTCAGTTTGCTTCTTTTAAGACAGAGAGACAAAGATAAGAATGTTACACCTGGTCCCTTTCTCCCATGAGGCCAAGAGGAAGGCGGCATTTGTGTGCTCAGACCTGCCTCTCAGCCCTGGGCCAGGCTGGTTCAGGGGCGTGATAAGCCACCCAGTGTGTGGGTTCTCTCTGAGCCCAAAGTGAATTGTAGCCTTGTGACTTCTGATACATGGAACTTAAAAAATCATTTTTGTTACTTTGCGTGGGCTGAGATGAAGAAAGCGACAAAGGAAAAGACAGTTTTTAAATTTTAGATGAAGATGCTCTTAACATTACCTTATCAAACTCACTTTTTAACTTTTTAATACTATGCCAAAAAAGACAGATGCTGGCTTTTTTCTCATTTGATAAGTGATTCATGCTCTTTGACTGACTTTAATTCAGTTAAATAACAGAAACAACCCCATACTTTGTCAATAAACAGATTAAAAGTGACATCATAACATGCTTCGCTTTGGGATTGAGTAGAGAGGGAAATTCATTGAAATATAAAATGGAGACAAAAGCCATCTGGTGTTTGGAAGCTGCATTTTGTGCTCTCAGAACCTGCTGTCTGTTCCTGTGGCCTGGCCTCTGTCCCCACACGTGAGGCCAGGACGGCCATCTGGCTGTTTGTTGTCACACCTTCCCCACAGGGCCCCCAGGCTCAGACAGGTGCATTTGTAATCAACAGAAAGGCCAGTTAGATCTCAGTGTTTTACCTGTTGAACATTGATTTTCAAAGTACTAGACACATCCTGGTAGGTTCTTCTAGACAGTACAACCCAGAAAAATTCACGTCTTTTAGGTAAAATCCCGGGCTGTGTTGAAGCCTTAGGAGATTTCACGGATTCTTGTTTTTTCCTCCTCCTGGCCCATTGTGGGTACATGGCTGCGCCCCCGGCTTCCTGCTCCACCCAGCACTCCGTGGGCCCCAGGAAGGATGGAGCTCCGTGGGCCTGGATCTGGTTCCCAAGCCTTGTGTGTGAGGAGTGGCAGTTTCCACTATTTCTCTTGATGTCATTACATCGGCTGGGCCTCCCCCTCCAGGTTGTCAGGAAGTTCACTAGGGGGAAGTGTTTCGGGGACCCTCTGCTCCCCGGGGTCTCAGGGTCATCCTGCATCTTGGGCAGTGACTGGAAGGGGAGAGGGCTCTGCTACTTTGTCCATGGTGGTCACGTTGTGGTGTGCCTTTCTGGCTGCCTGTCGTAGCTGTTGAGCACTGGTACCGTGTAGAGAGCCCAGGGCCACCCGGGTGCCCCAGGGGTCCCTGGCTGTGCTTCTGTGTGTACCACTCCTGGAAAGCCACCTCCCCCGTTCCCTTTGTCTTCTCTTGGGATGTCCCATTTCCCTACTCTAAGCCCTAAGCTCTGAGCTCTTTATTTCAGGAACCATGTAGCTTCATCACCTCAATTAGCCCAGGGTTTTGAACAGCAAGGCCTGTAACTTCTCCCCTGGGGGCTGAGAATGAGGACAAATGTGTGGCTATCTTACTGCAGCGTGGGAGGGACAGCAGCAACTCGACTCTGGCCCTGCAGTTTTGTGTAGTAGGGAGAACAAAACAGAAAACTGTAGCGTGGTATTCAGCCACACTATTTGTGAAAAGGAATACAAATGCATTTAACCTTTTATTCTAAAATAATTATGGACTCACAGGGACATAGCACAGGTCTGTGTGCCCTGCCCCCGGCATCCCCCATGGGTGACATTGTATGGTACCTGGCTGCAGTGTGACATCGGAGCCAGGAATGTGTCATTGCTGCGTCTCTGTTAAGTAGACCACAGACCTTGTACAGCATTCACCACTTTTTAAACCTGTCGTTTGTCTGTTAAGACCCATTTTCAAGGGCACAATGGTGCCAACTCCCACGGGAGCTGGCAGCATCAGGCTGAGCGACGCACCCGCCCGGTCAGTGTCCGAGGCACGGGCTCGTCTGTCTCAGCTCAGCCACCGCGTGTGCCCACTCCGTGCACATGGACACACTCAAATGACGCCCTTTGGATGGGGAGAGATATTCGCCTGAGAATGCTCTATCAGTGGAAAAGACCGGAAATGGAGACAAACCTTTAATGACGTGGACCTCCCCTGACTTCCTGTCCAAGTCCCCAGGGTTCGTCAACACAAGGGGCAGGGTGTGTGCCACTGCCCGCTGACAGGTTGGGGCAGCGTTTGGAAGGCGGGACGGTACGCTGCAGAGACCCTTGCCGGATGCTGAGGGAGATGTGGTCTGTAGCTGCAAACCTGCTGGTGGGCGGGAGGGCGCTCTGTGAGGACCCAGGGAGTGATGAGGGGCTAAGGGGCAGCCTGAGGAGGGAAGGAGGAAAGTGACAGGTCTCCTCAACTCCGGGGCACTCTCTCAGAGGGACTGTAGACTGGGCCATCGTGAGGACGTTACAAAACCCTGGAAATATTGAGGCTGGTTCGTGTTTGTGTTTGGTTTGCATTGATTTTAAGTTGTGTTCTCTGCCAGCTCAAGTCTCTCCAAAGTGTTTTAAGACCTTGGCCTGATTGTGGTTTGTAAGTTGCCCCACTTAGCTTCCTCCAAAACCGGTCGGGAGGAAAGTGGCTTCTGCAGGAGGCAGACGCTGGTGGAGGTCCTTGGGCAGCTCCCATGTCTGGCTCCCATGGTGCCTGCCGATGGGGAGAACTCAGGCCTTGCCACCGCTCTGAGCCAGCTGCCCTGCCCAGGTGACTGCTGGCCAGCTCTCGGCTTCCTTCCACCCCTGCCACCTGTCCTAACCGGCCTGGCCTGGCCCTCACCACAGCTGACACCTGTCCTTACTGCTGGCCTCACACCGCCTTGGCAGCCTGCTTCCCTGGCCAAGTGCCCACTGCTGAGGCTCCCCCGACTGGCTTCCTCCGAAGAGCAACACAGTGAAAGGATTTAAAGTCGTAGCTTTGTTAAGGGAATGGTTATACCCTGTTTTGAGATTCTGCAAAAGTTTGACCATGAGATTACAATTATTTTTATTCATTTATTTATTTTTAAGATTTTATTAATTTATTTATAGAGAGAGGGGAAGGGAAGGACAAAGAGAGGGAGAGAAACATCGGTGTGTGGTTGCCTTTCATGTGTCCCCTACTGGGGACCTGACCTGCAACCCAGGCATGTGCCCTGACTAGGAATCGAACTGATGACACTTTGGTTTGCAGCCTGCACTCAATCCACTGAGCTATACCAGCCAGGTTGATTATAATTATTTTTAAAAAACCCCTTTTTGTCACTATAATTATCTGCCAAGCATAATACCTTTAGCCCTTTTTGGCAACATCATTATCTGCCAACCATAAAAGTCAATCCGGGCATTGTATGTTGGTAAGGATCTGCCTAATTCTGGTGTTTTACAGCTCTGTGAGCTAAGGGTGGACATTTAAGTGTTTACTCCATCGATCCCACCTCCTCCTGAGAGGGATTTGAGACAGCAGAGGCTACCTGAGTGCACACATCCAACCTTGTGTTGACAGATGGGGCGCTGCCTCCTGCCAGGCGCAGTTCCAGGGCCTGGGCCTGGGTCATGACATGCGGTCCCTGCCTCCGGAACGCGGGCTCTGATGGAGCTGCTGCCGGTCAGATGGAAGGTTCTTCAGAGCCTGCTCGGCCCCGGGCATTTCTGAAAATTCTCCGAGCAATTGCTTTCTCTGTTTAATGTCTCCTTCAGGAAATTAAGGTCGGTTCAGGTATTGATGAAAACCCCACAGTCCCTGTCCTGTGATAATGGCTGCTAGCCAGCCTTGAGACCCCCGCCTGCGCTCTGGGCCAGCTCTGAGGATGACCCATTTTTGATAGTGTGTCTCTTCTTAGTTCACTTGTTTCAGCTGAGTACTGTTAGTGCAAATAATTGGATTTAGAAAACATGTAAAACTCACAGAGTTGGTAATTCTGTGTTGCATGTTGTGAATTTTCATTTGATGTGATGTGGATAAGAAGACAATTAATGTTCTTCGAGATTGAAAGAGTTCATAGCTGACTTTCCATGCTGCCTTACCCCAGTAACACTCGGTCTGAGCTCACCCCTTGGTTGCAGACAGTGGCTGGGTCCCGCAGATCCCAGATGTGTGGGATTTTAACACCTGAAACCGTGTAATTTTGTTAACCAGTGTCACCCCAATCCATCCAATAAGAAGGAAAAATACCCCAAATGAGTGAGATACACATCACGCCTCAAGGAGTACTCAGACTAGTCAGGGAGACAGATAAGAGATGATGATTATGGGAGCAATGGGGGAGGGGACTCCTAACTCAGCCTTCAGGGCCAGGAATGTCTTCCTTGAAAATGTCATTTAAGGCAGCATCCTGGAAGGTGTGGCTAACATGAGAATATGGCGTGTTGGCCGTGTGGCTGAGACAAAGAGGGCGACGGTTGAGCCTAGATGGGTAACGGGGGGCCCGATGGTGGTAGCCTTCCAGCCATTCTGAGAGTGACGGGTACATCTTGAAAAAGTCGGAAGTTTTGTTCTTTGTTGTAATGGCAATGTCTGCTGTCTTTTAGAACAGTATGTCTGGCTACTATGTGGAGAACAGGTTGAAGATAGGGAAGACTGGAGGCAAAGTAACACAGGATAGGAGGGCCAAGGCATGGGCAGAATTGGGCAATATTAAAGAGGCTGAGTCATGCCCTGGCTGTAGTGGCTCTGAGGATTGAGCACCAGCCTGTGAACCGAAAGGTTGCTGGTTCAATTGCCAGTCAGGGCACATGCCTGGATTGCGGGCCAGGCCCCCCAGTAGGGGCGTGTGAGAGGCAACCTCACATTGATGTTTCTCTCCCGCTTTTTCTCCCTCCCTTTCCCTCTCTCTAAAAATGAATTAAAAAAAACCAAAGAGGTTAAGTCAGCGCATCACTGAGAACCATCCTCCGGATTTTGCCATGAGTGCAGGGCTCTCTTTACCTGGACCTTCTTTTAGTAGTGAAACCTGCACGCAGGTGGCGTTTAACACGGGGGCAGCCCTGTTCTGGGCTGACTCAGCCTTGGCCAGCTGGATTGGGGCTTTCGGGTTTTGCATTTTCCATGCCAGTCTTCAGAAACCTGAGAGTATTGTTCTTGGAACTGGCCAAGAACAAAAGGCTGGGCCAGGGGTCGCAACAGAGTGGTGGGTCCTCTGCGACTTGCATTCCACGGTTTTGCCTGTTCTGTGACTGATCTTGAGAGGCAGCAGGTGGGGTACGAAGGGCTCTGATTTAGGAACCAGGAGCCTTGAAGTAAGTTTCAGCTGTGTTGCTTGCTTGCTTGCTCTGTGACCACTGGCAAATTATTTAAATCTGTCCTTCTCTGTACAAAGAAGGAAGCGGGTGAGAGGATGCTCATGGCTGCGGCTGCTTTTGCTTCCTCAGTCCCAGACGCCGTGAGCGCACTGCTGAGCAGTGAGGCTGGGGAATTTTTCCGGACCACTTCCCTCACTGAAAGCAACCATAGTTTTCTGGCCCCAGGGAGGTGGAGCAGAGGGCCGTTTGGGGAACGGATGGGAAGGCTCTTACTTTCTTGCATTTTTAGCAGGTACATCTTGGTTCTATTCCTTTGATCTGAGAAAAACAATAGAAATTCCACAGAGAATATAGTCAGTAATACTGTGATAGCTATTCGTGATGCCCAGTGGGTACTAGACTTATCAGGGGTTCCTTTGTAAATTATATAAATGTCTAATCACTACACCATACACCTGACACTAATAAAAATACTATTGACTGTCAACTATAATCGAAAAATAAAAATAAACATCACTGCCACCCCTTCCCTCACTTTGTTAAAAAAAAAAAAAAGAAATCCCAGTGGGCTGACCGAGAGGGCGCCTGTCTGGGCCTGTGATGGCCTCCGCCTCCCTCGCCTTGCGTCTGTCCTTGACCGGAAATCAGTGTGTGAGCTGAACGTGGTTCAGAAATGGCATCCTTTTTGCCTGATGGAGGAGGAGTGTTTGATCTGCTTTTATTCATTGGTTCCAAGCTGTCGTGAAGGCACACTTATAAGGACACGAAGGCAGAAAAGATATAGTTTTGTTCCAGTTTTCTAATTGCTTACATATGTGGTAAGCTACAGAAATTTACTAGGTAGCTCTATAGAGCTGCCATATGCTTTGGACATAAAGATAGAATTAAACATATAATTAAGCAGTATTAATAATTAGTTCTATTTTCTCAGGTGTATGACTGACAGCAAGGTGCCTTAATCTCCTAGTATTCCAAGGGTTTGAATCTGTAATGCATGAAATAAGTACGTATCACGTAGTTCTCATACCTTTGCTATTTGTATGTTTTATACATCATTTTCTTTCATTTTGCTGAACATATATTTTATTGTAGTTTGCTTAATATTTAGATTCAACTTCAAACTCGTGCCAGTTGATATTTTTTCTTTAATTCGATTTATGGACTTAAGGAGGAAGAGGGAGAGAGCGGTGGAGGAGGTGCAGAAGCAGATTTAATAGCTGTACTTATAAAAAGCACAGGCTTTTGTAGGAACTGTAGCTTTAGCCACGTTCTCTTTGTTCTTTACCATATAAAGAGGCTGATGCAACCCACGCTTCCAGAAAAATCCTCCTTTCTCTGCTGAGAAGGGAAATATAATGAGTTTGAGATAAATGTATCCAAGGAAGGTGGCTGGGAACCAGGGCTTGGCACTAGGCCTTTTTCTGAGCCTCTGGTAGTGAAGGTGTTGCCAGTGAAGCCAGGCTGGGCTGGGCCTGGTCATTAGGCGGAGATTTCTTCTCCATCCTTCCTCCCCTCCCCACTTTGAACAGTGCAGTTCATACAGCTTGCACGGTGCCCCGTGCTGCTATTATGACCGCCTCCTGTTTACCTCGCTGTCCTTTCCTGTGGTTGTGGGGGTGGCTGATGTGCCTGACACAGACAGATGAGCTGGACAGTGGTTTATGAGTCACGGGCGGAGGATGCTGTGCAGTGCGGGGCCACACAGGGGTTGCACTTGGATTGGTGTGAACAATCAGGGGGTCAGAGCGGGGCTCTGTTGTATTGAGAGGATGGAGTGTCTCTGGTTCTCATGGAGGATGTGCTTGGCCTGTTTGTACATTTCCGGGGGGATGTAGATACCATGCCTGGTCCCTGATGGGGAGGGCTGCTTGGCTAGGAGACCTCATCTGCCAGAGCAAGTGGGAGGGGACCAATAGTTAGGCCATTTCAGGTCTTCCTGATTTTACCAGATGTCAGGACAGCAGCAGAGGCAGGTACCTTAGACACTGTGAATTTTAAACATGTAGCTCATCATTAAGTGTCTGGAAGCTGTGTGACCTCAGGGAACCATATGGTCCCAGAATTTCTGGCAGGGATCTATCCAGGGAGAACATTAGTGACCTGGGAAGAATTTTTTAACCTGCCTTCCCAACTATGGTTATAGGACAGTGATTCTCACCCATGGGCAGGCGTTAGAATCACCTGGTGATTTTGAACCTCAAGAAGCCTGCCTCTCTCAGCTGGTGACTAAGACCCTCCCAGGCTGGCAGGCCTTCCGGGTGTCTGAAAGGGTTGAGCTCCAGAGGCTTCCACATAGGGAGAAGGGATGGGAGATCACATGGACATGCAGGAGTCTCTAATTCCTTGTTCGGGTTGTAGGCTTCCTTCCATGGCCAAGGACAAAAAAGAATTAAAGTTAGCCCTGGCTGGTGTGGCTCAGTTGACTGAGTGTGGGCCTGTGAACCAGAGGGTCACCAGCTTGATTCCGAGTCAGGGCACATGCCTGGGTTGCAGGGCCAGGTCTTCAGCTGGGAGGCAACTGATGGATGTTTCTCTCCCTCTCTTTCTCCCTCCCTTCCCCTCTCTCTAAAAATAAGTAAGATATTTTTTTTGCCCTGGCTGGTGTGGCTCAGTGGCTCGATCACCAGCCTGTGAACCAAAAGGTTGCTGGTTCAATTCCTGGTCAGGGCACATGCCTGGGTTGCCAGCCAGGTAACCAGTAGGGAGTACTCAAGAGGCAACCACACATTGATGTTTCTCTCCCTCTCTTTGTCCCTCCACCATCTCTAAAAGTAAAATCTTAAAAAAAAATTAGAAACATGAACATATACATTCAACAGAGTAATGCATTTAAGAAGGAAATGTCTTAAATGAATAAAAGAATAATAAGAACTAAAATGTAAGAGAATCAGGACAAAAGGTCAAGAATTAAGAATATGAAAGTATTAAAATTTAAGAGGGGTATCAGACTTAAAAGTCCAATTAAAACATTTAAAAAATTAGAAAACAGTGTTGAAATTATTAAGGATAAAATTTAAAGGTATAAAATTTATCCTCTGTAACATGTAATTTAGACAGTGGGCTAGCTGGCATGTTTATTGTAGAGTTTGTGGTGTGTGTTGGTGTGGTGTGCGTGTTGGGTGGGGTGTGTGGGAGGCCCTCAACTCTCATTTGGGACTTATCACTTCATTCCTCACTGTATCTGTTGACCCTTACTCTCCCCCATGATAAAGTGATTTTTGTTACAAACAGACAGGAGAAGTAACCAAGGAGGGGGCAGAAGGCGAAGCAGAGGAAGAGGAAGCTGAAAAGGGAGAAGAACCAGGAGAAGAAGGAGGAGAAGAAGAGTCCTAGGCCTTCCCATGCTTTATTTCTTCAACTGTTTCAGGTAGTCACCTAATTCCGGGGTTAAAAACTTGTTTATTACTGCATGATCTCTATACTGCATTTCAGTGGTCATGGAAGTGGCTTCTAGTTCAAGTCTGTCTGTCTTCCTGAGACTTGGGGCTGCCCCTTTCTGGAGCCATAGAGCCAGCTGACTCTGTCAGACCCAGGGCTTGGGCACTGGGGCGTGGCAGCCTATGGATTCTAGGAAGGAGTGTGCCTCTGAGGAAGAGTCTGCTGTGTACGTAATTCTCTCCTCTTTCTCCACGTGACCTTGGTTATGGGAAGGCACAGGCCGAGTTGTGTTATCAGCCTTCTAGTACACAGACACCCTCTGCCGATCCGTGTCCTTCCATATTTATAGGGGAGTGACAATCGATGTTCATAGTGGTGTGACAAATTGTAACTTCAAAAAACCACAGAGCTGGCTGCCATTCATGAACGACAGATACTGCAGCTAGATGTTTAGTGATAAGAGCTTCGTATGACATACCCGCTCGTTAAGTATTAACCAGGACACTCATGCAGAAACACTGTGGAACATAGTGATGTCACTTCGGGGAGGTTTGGGAAGTGCATTTGCTGCCTTGTAGTTTTAAACTTCTACTGAGGATGAAAAATATCTATAATCCTTAGGTTTGGTAAGTGCCCCCTAAATATATTCATAAGGTAATGACAGTATCTACTGGTAGTGGATGTAGGAACCTGGGGGAAATGCTCAAGCAGCGTGGGCCGCGCAGAGAGGAGAGAATGTGAGAACACACCTGAAGATCACTAAGTGCTATAAAAATATCTGACTTTGCAAGTCATATAGCAAATACTTATGTAAACGTATGGTAATTATTTGACCCCAAATTTGAGGCAGTAGTTTGCTGTGGTGCTATAAGAATTCTTTTTAAGGACTTCCGCCAAGATGGAGGCATAGGTGGAGATGCTGTGCTTTCTCACACAACCATGTTTAGAGACAACAAAATATTGTTGTCTCTAGCAACAGAAAACAAAATATAGCAACAGAAAACACAGCCAGAACACAGAAAATTGAACTTTTCGGAAGTCTGGTTGCAACGAATTCTTCAGCCTGACTGGTAAGAGAGGCAAAGCCAGCAGCTGGCAGAGCGGGGTTGCACAGGAAAACTTGGTCAGACAGATTCAGGTGTGTGGATCCCAGGCATGGTGTTGCAACAGGTGGACCTAGTGAACGACCCAGTGAGCGACCCAGTGAGCCACTGGTGGACCCAGAGAGGGCGCAGGGCTGCGGGTTGACTGTGGTCGCGCATTCGTGCTCAGATAGACCAGTGAGGGAATGGGCAGTGAAATGGGACTGAGCAGGCCCCAGTGGCGAGAGGCAGCAGAGGGGGCTGCTATTTCCTCGCTCTGACCCGCCCCCACATACAGCGTCACAAACCAGCGACCTGGGTGGCCCTACCCTGGTGAACATCTAAGGCTCTGCTCCTCATACTTAATGGGTGCAAACAGACCAAAAATGGCTCAAGAAGATCTCAAAGCCCCAGAGCCCATAACTCTAAGCGACAAAGAAATAGCAAAACTTTCAGATGCACAGTTCAAAACACTGGTGATCAGGATGCTCACAGAACTGGTTGATTTTAGTCACATATTAGAGGAACACGTGAAGGTTAAACTAATTGAAATGAAGGGAATTGCACAGGAAACCAATAGTGATGAAAAGGAAACTGGGACTCAAATCAAGGGAGTGAACCAGAAGGAAGAAAAAAATGGCCAAACAGGAAAATATGAAGAAACAAGAATTCAAAAAAATGAGAAGAGACTTAGGAACATCCAGGACATCTTTAAATGTTCCAACATCCGAATTATAGGGGTACCAGAAGGGCGAAAGGAACAGCCACCAGTGGAAAACTTATTTGAACAAATAATAAAGGAGAATTTCCCCAATCTGGCAAAGGAAATAGACTTCCAGGAAATCCAGGAAGCTCTGAGAGTCCCAAAGAAGTTGGACCCAAGAAGAAACACACCAAGGCACATCATCATTACATTAGCCAAGATTAAAATGAAGGAGAGACTCCTGAAGCAGCAAGAGATAAGGGGACAGTTACCTACAAAGGAGTTCCCATCAGACTGTCAGCGGATTTCTTGAAAGAGATTGTACAGGCAAGAAGGGGCTGAAAAGAAGTATTCCAAGTCATGAAGTCCAAAGACCTACAAGGAAGATTGCTCTATCCAGCAAAACTTTCATTTAGAATGGAAGGACAGATAAAGTGCTTCTCAGATAAGACCAAATTCAAGAAGTTCATTATCACCAAGCCCTTATTATATGAAATGTTAAAGGGACTTATATAAGAAAAATAAGATAAAAAATATGAACAGTGAAAGGACAGCAAACTCACAGTTATTAAGAACTACACCTAAAACAAAAGCAAACTAAGAGAACAGCTAGATCAGGAGCAGAACCATAGAAATGAAGATCTCATGGAGGGTTAGCAACAGGGGAGTGGGAGGAGGAGAAGGGGGGATAAGGTACAGAGAATAAGTAGCATAGATGGTAGGTAGAAAATTGATGGGGGGGCAAGAATAGTATGGGAAATATAGAATCTAAAGAACTTGAGAAATGTGGTCATAAACTAAAGGGGGGAATGGTGGGGGTGGGGGTGCAGGGTGGAGGGGAATGAAGGGGGGATAGAACAACTGTAATGGCATAATCAATAAAATAAAAACATAAAAAGAATTCTTTTTAACATTTAAATTAAAATTAGAGATTTAAAGAAGTCTCCTTCCTGGCTATGTCCTGCCTCCACCAAAATGCACATAACGACAGGTTCCTGGTCCGCGCGAGTCAGGGGCACCGGGAGGCAGGCGAAAGTGCGGGAGCAAGCCCCTGTCCACCCCACAGGTCTCATACGGTCTGTGGTGAAGCTCAGGGCCCTTTCGGTGCAGGGAGGGGGTGTCGCTTGGAGAAGAGGAGAGAAATCCTGGTGCTTTGTGCAATGTCTGCTCACAAGTAACTCCGCTCTCTGTACCAAAGCCCAGTTTGAATAGCACGGACCTCCCCTCATAACATACGTATGCCTAGACGTGAAAAGCTAATACACAATCTTGGAGCTTCAAACATTTTGAGGAGATTTAGGGCTGGTGAGAGTAGCCGTCACAGGTTGTTAATGGGACCGGGAACATTTCACCGCTCATGTATGTAAACTGCGCGGCCGAGCTAGCCCATCACTGGGCGTTTTCCCAGCTGGTCTCCTCCCTGTGCTGGGCACATACATTTCTACTTTGAGGCCTAATGCTGTAGTTTTGGGGCATGACCCCTTTTATTGTATTTACTTAATTTATTTTCCATTGTCACTATTGAGAAGTCTGGCGTCAGTCTTACTGGTGTCTCTGATCCCATTTCTGAGGAATAGGTTGGGAGCCATATTTGAAAAAAAGAACAGCGGCAAAGTTAGTTTTCAGAAGTTTATCTGAAGAATGGTGGGAAAGGAAAATAAGCTGATTTTTATCCTGATACCAAAAAGAAAAAAACCCACAGTAAAAGACTTAATATGTTCTGTGTAAATTCACTTCTATTCACTCTGACTGTGAAGTTCTTTAGGAGTCATGCGATCTAATGCGGCAATCATAAAACCATATTGAATGTGGAATGGCACAGCTGAGATAACCCTGTGTGCGGCCAGATGGCTTTGCAGGGTCACTTAAAAAAAAGGTGATGGCAGCTGTGGCCAGTGCCTTGTGCCAGTTTCTCTGGTGGCTTCTGGTTCGGAATCCCATCCACAGAAGCCTGTTGTGGGGTCAGAATGCCTGGTGGGGAAGGAGCGAATCAGACGGCTCCCTACACCGCCCCCTGACTCCTGGGGAGAGTCAGGTCCGTCTGGGAAACGCAGCCTGGCCATGTAACCTGATGATCGGCAAACAGTTCAGCTTCCAAAGACAAGCCCGCCTCGTGTAGTAGCTCACATTGGTGGTGTTTAGGCAGAGCGTGGCAGGGAATGGAGCCAAGAACACATCCCCATTTCCTCTGTTTGACACTGATGCTCAGGTGATGCCCTCGCTCAGGTGATGCCCCTGGAGAGATACCAGGGAGCAGGAGTCTGAAATCCCGCTCCCAGGGGGGCTCCCCGGGGACGAGACTGTCATCTGAGCCTCTCCGCTCCTGCTCCGTGAAAACACAGTGGGGACCCCCTCAACACCAAAGACATGGCCTTCCTTAGGGCGTTTGCCTTGTGCTCATACAGAGCAAGATGGAAACCCAGTCTGGTTTCCCGTGAGAAACACTTCATTTCCTTTTGTGCACCTGGAACAAATGAGGAGGAGGGGCTTATGGAATGAAAAGCCATCCTTTTTCTTGCATGATAAACAGTGAGGATTGTGCTAAACATCCTTTTTCTGCCTTTAACGGCTGTCTCCCTAATGCTCTGCCTTTCTTTCAGAAAGCCCACGTCGTGAAGCAGCATTTCAACGGTCTCCCCACAAACCACACTCAACTCACGCCTTGGCCTGAGGCGAGCCTACCTCTCGGTCCCCCCAGGGCTCACGGAGGACGTGCCCTGGCTCGGTTCCGTGTCTGTGGACCTGTCTACATGTTACATCACCATGAAATTCAACATCAGGGCAACACACGCGTGCCTTCACGGGCCTCACCTTTTTGGCCTTTGCCTAACTTTTTCTTTTCTCTTTTGCTCTGCATGAAAAGACCTTCTGGCTAATACCCTGGGGGAAAAAAAAAGATTTCCAAATATAGAACTTCTCTTTGCGCTAGGACAAGTATTTCTTTGTATGTGCCTTATGCTGCTTGCCTCAGAATTAGCTTTCAAAGTAAAATGCTTTCCAGAGAACAAGCACACAAATAAAGATTAATAGCAGAGATCTTGTCCCAAGAGCATCGATTTTTGGGGGGTTTGGTGTCTCCTTGAACGTGCCTGCCCTCCATCCACCTGTCACCACATCCAAATCCTCAGCAGAACCTTCCGGTCTGCTTGGGTTGGGTGAGTTTTGTTTCACTGATGATCGGGTCCGTGTGTTCAAACACCGCTGGTTGTCTTGTGACGTCCTGTTTTCTGTTGCACACACCGCTGCGTGCACTGTCTTTGAAACCTCGTCCAAATGTAACACTGTCATCCACATGTGTGGGGAGCGTAGTGAGGATAAATAAATCCACAACCCAGTGTCCTTGGCATGTTTCTGTGCTGAAGGGAGTGAGTGGCCGCTGCTCTTTCTCGATGGATTGGCAGCCGTAGCTGCGATGGGCTGAGCCTGGGCCTGTAACTTTGCCTTCTGATGCCACAGTATCTGTCCCCCAGGGTCCAGCCCCGATGACTCATCCAGCAGGAGCTTCAACAGTGCTTTCCTGCTCACCTGCTCCACCTTGGTTTATTACAGATATTTTTCTTTCTTGAAAGGTTTTGTTGACATCCTTCCCCTTTTAAATGGATGTGCTATTTATTTCTTGTATTATTCTTGCTGCAAACGTTGCTTCGGTGCTGTTGGAATCGCTCATTTCCTTGCTTTTTAAGGATGATTTTCTGACTCAAGGACGATTATGGCAATTCAGCCGGGCATGCCCATCAATTCTTCCTCCTCCCCAGTCTGCTGGTTGTTTTCCAGCTAAGCCTGTTCGTGTTATTTAAGAATGTTTTCTATGGTGGCAGAGGTTGTGTGGATCTCAGGGATTCTGGAAAACGGCTCTTTTTTGGCCACCACCCTAATAACAAAAACAGGCCGTTTGAAGAGAATTAAGATGATTCTGTTCCAAACGGTTGATGTAGATGACTTCAAAAACATTTCTCCCTTTGCTGAAAATAATGTGAGACCCTACAGTGAAATGGAAATTCATGTAATTAATAAGCTGATTTCTGTTTGTACTTCACTGCACTAGAGCATGTCCCATCTAAGAGCTTGTATTATTGTATAACAGCTCCATGCACTAATGAATAGGCCTTACGCTTTCTCTAGGCTGACGTTTAATTCTTCTGTGATAAGGTAGGATGAGGATAAATTTATTCATCTAGGAGCCAGTTTTCCTCCTATTTCTCACATTTGTAAATGAAAATAAGTATTGGTGTTAATAAGCAAAGATAACAAACCAGACCGCTTATTTAAATTGTATTACTTTTTTGTTGTGTTGTCTTTCTGTAGTCATAAAAGGAATATTCTAGGGGAGTATTATTTATTCACATTACATTTTCTTTTTTTATTATTGTTCAAGTACAGTTGCCTCCATTTCCCCCCACCCCAACTACCCCCACCTCCCACCCTCCATCCTTCCCCCCTTTGGCTTTGTCCATGTGTCCTTTATACATGTTCCTCGATGACCCTTCCCCTTCTTCCCACCTCCCCTCTGGTTACTGTCAATGTTCTTTATTTCAATGTCTCTGGTTATATTTCGCTTACTTTGTTTTGTTGATTAGGTTCCACTCATAGGTGAGGTCATATGGTATTTGTCTTTCACCGCCTGGCTTATTTCACTTAACATAATGCTCTCCAGTTCCATCCATGCTGTCAAGAAGGGTAGGAGCTCCGTCTTTCTTTCTGCCGCATAGAATTCCATCATGTAAATGTACCATAGTTTTTTGATCCACTCATTTACTGATGGGCACCTAGGTTGCTCCCAGCACTTGGTGATTGTAAATTGTGCTGCTATGAACATTAGGGTACACAGGTTCTTTTGGATTGGTGTTTCAGGGTTCTTAGGGTATAATCCCAGCAGTAGAATTGCCGGGTCAAAAGGCAGTTCCATTTTTAGTTTTTTGAGGAAATTCCCTACTGTTTTCCACAGTGGCTGCACCAGTCTGCAATCCCACCAACAATGTACTAGGGTCCACTTTTCTCTACAACCTCTCCAGCACTTGTTGTTTGTAACATTACATTTTTTAATGTGTTTTTAAAAATATTTTATTTATTTATCTTTAGAGGGGAAGAGAAGGAGAGAGGGAGAGAAACATCAATGTATGATTGCCTTTCGTGCATCCCCTGCTGGGAACTGGCCTGCAGGGAACTGGTCTGCAACCCAGGTATGTGCCCTGACTGGGAATCGAACCTCGATTGTATGGTTCGCAGGCCTGCGCTCAATCCACTGAGCTACACCAGCCAGGGCCTGTAACATTACATTTTTTAAAAGGATTATTGAAATGCAGACATTACTTGGGTAACAACGCCATATAAATAGAATAAGTTCTCTTGCAGATTTGGCTTAACCTTCAATGGCTAGTGGGCCCAGTGGCAGATGGAGGAAAATCCTCAAATACAGACTGTGCAATATCAAAATATAATTATACTTTAAATTATACTATAAAATTTATATACTTTATCAATACAGGAAGTTTCTGGAACCTGAACAGTGTTATGAATATGTACAAAAGAGTAAAGAAAAGCCCAGTGAACAGGCAAAATCGTTCTGCACAAAAGAGACAAGACTAGGAAATGGAATAATTATATGATTCATATATAATTATGTGATGATTTGATGCTAATAGTAGTTCAAAGAGTTTGGTTTATTAGTCTATAGGAGTCCTGAAGATTCAAAGTAACAGTTCCTATTGTGTTTATAATTAGAAAAGCAAATACCCCAAAATCTGAAGGCGTTTTTTCTAACCGCTAAACAGGAAGTGCTCCCTTCCCCTCTCTGCTTCATCTCCCTCTCGTTTCCTTGGGGTTCTGTGGGTTGAAATCATGTGGTACAAGAACCCACTATGAATGCTTTGTGGTTGCCATTGAATTCTTAGTTTTCCAGATGAAATGTATTGGCTGAGAAGGCTCTTGAGTGATATTTAAAACTGCCTTCTTTCAAAAGCAGTGTGGCCCTACACCTGTGCCTGCATGGTTAAGTGACGTGATCCCAGCGAGTTGTAATAATAAAGACTGACCACTAGGTGGAGACAAAACACAAGCTTCTAGATGAAGTGTCCACCCTCGGCCTCCTGGGCTGTGCGTCCAAGTTCGGACATTGTCGAGGTCTGTTCGGCAGAGGAAGAAACTAACAGAAAAACTCCACACCACTTGCTCAATTAATTAGTGTATCGTTTATAAGGATTTTACCTAAGATAATTTATTTTGGGCAAAATGTTATTTATACCTTCTCTGAAGCCATTAAAACCAACAATTGCTTGTTTGAATTTCTCAGCTTTGCATTACACACAGAAGAAGGCAAAATGCAGTCAGCAATCGATCACTTACTGACAATTCTGATGATACAGGATCTTCTTTTAGCCTATAAATGGTTCTAGGTCCTCAGAGAAGTATAAACAGAACCCTGGCGAGCCAAGTGGCTGATCGTCCTCTGGTTCAAGCCTTTTTAGTCAACAATACAACACATTTCCAGATATCTGGAAATAGATTCATGGCCCTCAACAAAGCATTCATTTTATGATTGTCTAAGATACTCAGCTTAAACAAAAATATTTCTGCCCTGGTTGGTGTAGCTCAGTGGAGTGAGCCTGGGCTTGTGAAGCAAAGGGTTGTGGGTTTGATTCTTGGTCAGGGCACATGCCTGGGTTGTGGGCCAGGTCCCCAGTAGGGTGGTGCGTGGGAGGAAACCACACATTGATGTTTCTCTCCTTCTTTCTTCTTCTTTTCCTCTCTAAAAATAAAGAAATAAAACCTTTAAAAAAAAGAACCCACTTAAAAATGATTTCTTTTGGAAAAACTTGCTCATAAGTGGAGAAATGAGTGGGTGAACCCTTTAAGACGTAGCAGCGGGTAGGGTTGTTTTCTAGACCCAGACATTGGACATTGTTCGAAGATGCCGTGTGGCTCCCGGGGGTGTGAAGGGCTCCGCCAGGCAGTGTGTGGGCCTGGCAGGGCTGGGGCGGGTGGCTGGGGAATAGCTGGGGGGAACTGGGCCTGGTCCAGGGGAAGGGTCCTGTCAGTGCGGGATCCTGGTGCATTCTCTCCCCCCCTCACACACATCCAACTCAGTTTAGGATTAAAATTAGATGTCCGGTACTGTGTCTCATGGTATTTTAATTTGCTAACGTTTATCGGGAGTTTGCTGTGCGCCAGGCTCTGCATCTAGGGCTTCACATAATCTCTATGGTAACCTGATGGGGGGGGGCACCCTCATTTACATGTAAGGAAACTGAGGCAGGGGTAAGTTTGGTACATGTGTAAGGTCACACAGCCCAGAGATGGCCAGGCTGGGCGTCAGATCTACCCGAGTTCCACTCTGAAGCCCGGACCAGCCTTCCCAGCAAACCCTTCCTCTCTGTCCTTGACCATGGCCTTGCCCCTTGGCCAGGGGCTGGCTGGGGTGGTAGGCAGCGTGCATCGTGTGCTCAGAGCATGCCCTGCCTGGGCCTCCTCTGGTCCACAGATTCTGTCCTTAGATTTGACGCCATGGTACTAGTGAACCGTCGTGGGGAGTGGTCCCATTTCCCTTTCTCCCGGGTTTTCGGGGTGCCTGCCGTGGCTGCCCCAGTCACAGAGGGAACTGGTCCCTCTCCCCCGGCCATGACAGTTTACTAAGACAACTCACAGGACTCAGAGAAGCACACAGCTCATGATTATAATCTACTGTGTAAGAGACACACGAACAGCCACATGAACATGTACACAGGGCAAGGACCAATAGGGTCCTCAGGGGGCACCCACGTCTCTATGGAGTAGGGGTGCACTGCCCTCACACCCATGGCATCTTCCGCAACCAGAAAACCCCCCCAAACTCATCTTTCTGAGGTCTTTATCAAGGTTTCATTTCATAGGCAGGATTGATTAGATCTTGGGCCATTGTGCTTGATCTCCAGCTCCTCTGCCTTCCCTGGAGCTGGGGCTGGGGATGAGGCTGGAAATTCTAACCCAACCACGTGACTGGCTTTTCTGGTGATCAGCTCCCTTCGGAAGCTCCCTGGATCCCCCCACTCCTCGTGAGTC